AAAAAATAACGTACAACTCTGTTCTCTGCTTGTTTCAGGTACGCTACCGGGAGCGCATCACAATCCTCAGAGGGAACCATGAGAGCAGACAGATAACACAAGTGTATGGGTTCTATGACGAGTGCCTAAGGAAATATGGTAACGCCAACGTGTGGAAGTACTTCACAGACCTGTTCGATTACCTCCCCCTCACTGCCTTGGTAGACTCTCAGGTGAGAATACACGTCAGTTTCCTTCACAGATATGATACATTTGGACTGAGCAACTCATGTTGTGACCTATGATTCATTGTACAATTAACATTAAACTCTAACACTACTAGTTTAGGAAATATTAATTTGGTGGTGTGATGGATACAGAAGCTGATGGTCAAGTTTCTCTTGTCCTTCCAGATTTTCTGCCTTCACGGAGGCCTGTCCCCGTCCATAGATACTTTGGATCACATCAGAGCCCTGGACCGTTTACAGGAAGTACCACATGAGGTAAAGATAACACTTATGTATGTGTGTGTGTGTATCATTTTTAAAAGCAAAGTTTTAAGTTCCTTCTGGGAATATAAAACATTAAGAACAATAAAACAATTAATTGAACAAAAACAAGATGTTTGTCAGTAACTTTGTCATGACCAATACCTTAGAAACAAAAAGGAAGTAATGATCTTCTCTTTTCTCCATAATTGAGTATATTTTCTGTTCAATGAATCAACAGCAGGACTGTGTCTGTGTTTCTTTACTAACGTGCTGCTCCACCTCCCCCTTTGTCTCCTGCAGGGTCCCATGTGTGACCTGCTTTGGTCAGACCCCGACGACCGTGGTGGCTGGGGCATCTCCCCCCGAGGTGCTGGCTACACGTTCGGCCAGGACATCTCTGAGACTTTCAACCACGCCAACCGCCTCACATTGGTGTCCCGTGCCCACCAGCTTGTTATGGAGGTACGTGTCAGTATACAGTAACATGTATAACGTGCAACATTACTGCATATCTGCTGCTGAGGAGGATATAGTTTGGGACAGAAAAGTAAATTTGCACCAACAGGACAAAGTCACCATGTTTGTTGGAATTTTACCGAGCAAATAGGAATTTTATTGTAGTTCGGGACTGTGTCTGTTAAAGTATACTTCTCAGCTATAGTCAAGAATGACCTATTTCAGTAGTGTTTATTAATTCAAGAAATTTTGAACAAAATATTATCCACTAATGCTACAGAGAACAATAGGACAAAACAATTATATCACCAGCTCATACCGAGTTTAAAAAACAGTTTAGATTTGTCTTACAGTAGCACTCTTTCCTGAATGATACATCTCCAGTGAATAATATATCTGCTTCCCCCAGGGTTACAACTGGTGCCATGAAAGGAATGTGGTGACAATATTTAGTGCTCCCAACTACTGCTACCGCTGTGGCAACCAGGCAGCTATCATGGAACTAGACGACACCCTCAAATACTCATTGTAAGTATATAAAAAGAAAACTGAGCATGTAATTATGTGGATCGCTCCAAGCTGAAGCTCTGCACGATGCTATAGACTTTGCAAAAATGAAAATATTTGTTTAATATAAATTGTGCCGTGTATTCATTCATTCATCAATAAAGCTTACAATATGTATGAATATAAAATGATCAGTTAATAAATCTTATATTTTTTATTCCTTCTAACCAGCTTGCAGTTTGATCCTGCGCCTCGCAGAGGGGAGCCTCATGTCACTCGCCGCACCCCAGATTACTTCCTGTAAACTCTGACCTTTGACCCTTGTACAGTCAGGTCCAGTATTGCCATGATGTATGACCTTCAACCGATAACAACATGAATGAAGAAAGGGAGGGTGGGAAACAACTACTGGGTGGGGGGAGGGGGCTACACAGCAGTGCACATTGTATATCCACACAAAGACCTATTTAAGCATTTAGCAAAAACAATGTCTGTGTCTATGAATGGACCAAAAGGTGTGTGCCATAATCATTACAATATTCATTGCTGAGGTATTGAAAATCTCCCCCACTATGTAAAACAACAGTGATAAATTCCTCATCCTGTACCCGTGAAGTTGGACTGATGGCACCGAGGTCCAAGAGAAAAAAAGATTTGCTACTCCGAATGCGGCTGTTTGAACCCCACACGCCATGGCTTCTATTTAGGAGATCTAAACATGATCTGTTTGCACTTTTGTAAATCTAAAGAAATGTAACATATGTCAAAAGATGGAAATTATTTCACACTACAGATGTTTTTTTTTTTTGTTTTTTGTTTTTCTTTTAGATTTTTTTTTGGTTTTTATTACAAATAAAGTCCCCATCAGCCAAGTTTTACACAAGGTTTCTTTGTCCTGTGTAAATTTTAAGGAAAACACTTCTTATGCAGTCACCCAGCTTGGTATATATGATAGACAGATGATGGAGTGTTCATCCACATCAACTCACTGACTCCCTCTGAATTACAGAGTCTGTATTAACCAAACCATTTGAATAATAAAGATGAAGGTGGCTCCTTGATGTGACTGTTCTGTTTTCTGCTCTTCTTTTTTATGGTACTGAAAAGTCCATTTGACCTGTGATTAATCTGTAACGATGCCAACTTGAAGTCGGCTAGTTCACCAGCGAGTAGGTCAACCATCTGGACTGCAGATTGTCTGGCAGTTCTACAATTGAGCAATTAGTTCAGGATGTGTGTTTTGGAGAGACACACTGACAACCTTCCTCTTATAGAGTGTTACGGCTAAGCCTATCAGAATATCTTAATAAAGGTAGTGTCTCCTTTGTGTCTGAACACCAATGGCCTGGTTTATTTACCACCTCGCATCTTGGCAGTAAGGAAGGATTGTCGGATGTGAACACAATTAAAAGCTTTGACACATAATAGTATTTTTGATCCCTTGTACTGTTATATCAAATTATAGTTACAGGATTCTGTAGTCTTTACCTTGGAATAATTGCTTTAAGTGCTATCGTATATATTGTAATTATGGGTGAAAAATAATACTGATAAAGGTTTTAGGGTTATTTGTATTGTCATTTACAAAGCAAGTTTGTAGAATATTATATTTAGCTATAGTTATCTTTTATGTTGCTTTAAAAAAAAAACTAAATGAAATTAATGTTATTTTTTGTGTTTTCCTATTTTTTTGTTTGTCATATGAGCATAAGT